CTTTAAATGCTTGCAATGTAATGTCAAGGCCAGCTGACTGCTGGGTACTGGCAACATGAAAGCAAGCTGCAAGCATGAGAGGCTTTTAGTGTTAAGCTTCAAGTTGGCTTCCAGGTTATTAGCATACAGCAACCCAACACAACTAAGTACTGCACTGAGACACATATCATAAATATCAGACAGAGACAGTATGGCTTTTGCTGGCAAATTATTTCCCCCTGTGCAGTTTCAATGGGGAAGTTTGTGACAACAGATCTGTGTAACATAAGTTATGATTAGCATCAGGATGCAAGTTTATTCCTCCACACCCCACCAGTTTCTCATAAGGGAAAAGTCTTGCAACTTAAACATGTTATGGTTAGAGAAAGATGCAAGGAAGCAAAAAGCCAGCTGGAATTACAGAGATACCAGGAACTAGATGGGACAAATCACTGGCAAATATCTTGCACTGGCTAGAGAAGAGGATGAATGTGAGGTTTTCCCTTACCTCTTGCTTTTGAGCTGTGGATAAAAGGATTTTCCCCAAGCCGGGACAACCAAAAGCCTTTTTAGAGAGAAAATGCAATTACACCCAGCCCCGCATGCAGGCTCCTGACCTGCATGTAAAAATCTAGCCTGCTGCATCCAACCCAAGGCTGAAAATGGAAACTAGAGCAAAAGCAAGGCTGGTATGCAAACACTACTCAACAGCAAGTGCAGATCAAGCACACTGCCTGCTAAATTCCTCCTTTGATTCTGCTCAGTCTATTACTGTGAGAAGAATACACACGGCTATTATACATGTACACTCTGCACCAGTCTGTCAACACATCCAGTATGCTAAAAGCACAGATAAGTTTGGCAGCCTGTCCTTGAGGGAGCAAAGGGCTGTATAACATACAAACCTAACATCTAATATCAACTCATTTCAATTACACCTCCCCTATCAAAAACAGCAGCAACCATAAATCAAGAAATCATGCTTTCGTGTTAAAATCCTGTAGGCTCTTCAACAATTAACCTGCAAACTAGTTTGTTACCTTTTGAGATTAACTAGACACAAAAACCTTAATTAGAAATACTAACCAGAGTAACATCAATTAAAAAACAAGAGCAAACTGATGGAATGAGGTATGTGCTATGGCTGTACTGCCAGGTTGCTTTCCTTCCCCTCACATTATAATCACCATCCTTGATCTATTTATGGCCTGATCATGCAGACTCACTGCTAGCTGCAAGTCTTCCTATCAGAGTCCTACTGTTGAGAAGCAAGCATGCACACCATCGGATTGAAGACTACAAACTCTCTAAGGCAGGTACCTTTTACAAAACAAGAGAGCACTTGGCGCACACAAGACGTCAGAAAATTAGGATGCTTTACCAACTCTCTTACGCACATGATACAGTGATTCAGGGGTTGGCAATGTTTTTGGGCACAGCGTCAAAAACACCCACAACCTCAACTTGTAGGATGTTAGTGTGCCAGGGCAGATGGCTGGGGAGCCACCAGCGGCCTGATCCTTGTCGGGGCAGTGCAGCCCTGACCCCTTCCCTGCTATCTGTCCTGAGGCACACGTGCAAAGCAAAATGCCTCTGTGTGCCACACACTGGCACCCGTGCTAAGGGTTGCCTACCCCTGCACTGACTCATAAAGCAAGCAAGAGGCAGTGGCAGATTGCTTTTGTTCCAACTTTAACGATGGTCTATTTGCCTGGCCCCTGGATCCGCAATGACAGGCTGGCTAAAGAGACTGAAAAGTTACCTAGCTTCTCAGTAACTCTAGTACACCACTGCTCAAGCTCGAGTCTCTCTCATGCAGGACTCCACGAGTTTGATGCAAAGGTCTGTAACCTCAAGGGCTTGTTCTAGCAGCCGCCATCCCACTTACAACAGCCCAAGCAACACGACCGCGCACGGGCCACTTTCCCCCTTGCCCTCGCAGCGGCTTGCTAGTGCCCAATGTGATTTCTCTCCAGCCCCATCTGGATTGCTAGACAGCTCTCAGTGCCGTGGCACTCAAAGGGAACCCCTTGAATCACAAACACCTCCTTTTACCTCTACAGGCTTGGCCACATGAAGCCTGTGAGATGCACTCCAGACACCTAGAGAGACACAAGGGGAAAAATGAATCTGCTGGAAGATAAAAGCCTTTCCCCACGTGATTATTATTATTATTTTTTTTTAGGGGCAAAAAATACACCTTTCTAGAAAGCAAATGATCCTTGGCCTCCACACGGGCGCAACCAACCAGTCGCTTAGGAAAGGAGAAACAGATCAGCTCTCTGCCCTTATGCCTGAAGAGGTGTCTACGGATGAATACTGGAGACACACCAGCTCTTCAGTCGCTCAAGCGCTACCTTGAGGGCAGACAGGCTGGTTTTTTCTCAAGACTGGACAGCCACGCGTCTGCCGTGACTTGGTTGGTGGGGCCCGTCTACATTCATGGCGCCATCCGATCACGCTATAAATGGGTTTTCATGGCTGGACAGCCATGGACTCGGCAGGTGCGGCCCATCTACATTGATAGCGTGATAGGATGGCGCCATGAATGACATTTCCTGGCCGGACAGCCACGTGTCTGCCACCACGCGGCAGGTGCGGCCCGTCTACATTCATGGCGCCACCCGGCCGCGCTGTAAATGTAACGTGTGCGGGGTGGGGGGGTGTAATACAGCCCCGGGGTCGGCACCAGCCGAGGCCTG